TCGTGGTGTGCATTTGGAGGCCAGAGGACAACTTGTAGGGGCAGAGTAGATTCTCTCCTGCCATGTAGGCGCCAGGGATCAAATTCAAGCCTTTAGGCTTGAAGGCAAGCACTTTTTCCTGCTGAGAAATCTTGCTGGTCCTTGATCTTTGAAGGAACGCTTTTAACATTTAAGTGTAATGTTTACTATAAGGGTGTTTTGGATAGTAATTTATATCAGTTACCTATTACCACAAGAGTGCCGTGTGAGACAGGCTATATCAAATCTCAGTGATTAGCCAGGCATAGTGGTACATATCTGTAATTATAATTACTTGGGAGGCAGAGGCAGGCAGATCAGAAGTTCAAGGCCAGCCTCAGCCACATAGTGAGCTGGAGGCCAGCTTGGCTTATATGAGACTCTGTTTCAAAAACTAAACCAGGGGGCTGGAGAGTTGGCTTAGTGATTAAGAGCACTTACTGTTCTTGCAAAGGACCTGGGTTCAATTCCTAGCAACCACATGGAGGTCAACCACCTCCTCAGGAACCAGGCATGCATGTGGTACACAGACAGACAGACATACATGCAGGCAATACACTCACTTAACGCTAAATAATAAACTAAACTAAACAAAAAACTAAACCAATCAAAACAACCCCTCCCCCCAAACAGTGCCACAAGACAACAGTTTCTCTCACAAGTCTGTGGTCCACTGAGGTTGGCTTTCTGAGGTCGTCAGAGGTATCACTCTTTCCTCCTCCCTCCATCCCCTCCTCGACCAGCCTGGGCATGTTCTCATGGTGACGGAAGGGAAGGACAGGAACACAGGCATCTCTGTAGGCGCTTTCTTGGTTGCCAACTTGAGTGTGTTTAAAGACACCTAGAGCTCACTGAAGTCCACAGCTGGAAGTGTCGGCGAGCGAGCGTGTTTCCAGAGGTTAGACCCCGAGGGCTCCTCTCCAAACAGTGCTTTAGTCCACTGACAGATTCAAAAGCTGAGTTCACCACTGGGAGGTGGTGTGCAGGGTGGGGCCGGGGAGGAAGCAGTAGGCAGCCTTGTTCTGGCCCCTCCTGTTAGCCGTTCTGCTCTGGCTGAGCTGTCCACCCGATGTGGGCTGCTCCTCCATACACTCCCTGCCATGATGGACCAGCTCTGTGAAATCATGAATGAAAGAAATTCTTCCTCTGTTACGTTGTTTCTGCCAGATATTTGGGGCAAGAAAAGTCTGTGTGAACTGCTTTTGGTGTCTCTGGTTCACATCATGCCTGCCAAAACTCCAGTGATCCAATTAAGTTCAAAATAGGGAAAGCATATTCTAAACAATGATATATGAGGTGATATTCGAATGTTAACTAAACACTGCACTTACAGATAAGTATAGTACTATGCCATTTAGTAACTTCTTAGGGAATGTTCTAGGAATTACAATCATAGTCAAACTGTTGAAGGGTAAATACAGAACCTTGTAAGCAGTAAAAATAACTCTGATGTATCTTGTATGCTGGATATATCCATGGATGTCCAGGCTTGTGCTGGACAGTTTCATGTCAACTTGACACAAGCTGGAGTCATTTGAGAAGAGGGACCCTTAGTGAAGAAAATGCCTCCAGAGGATGGGGCTATGGGCAAGCCTGTAGGGCATTTTCTTAATTAGTAATTGATGGGGAGAGCACAGCTCATTGTAGATGGTACCATTCCTGGGCTGGTGGTCCTGGGTTCTATAAGAAAGCAGGCTAAGCAAGCAATGGGGAGCAAGCCAGTGAGCAGCACTCCTCCATGGCCTCTGCATCAGCTCCTGCCTCCAGGTTCCTGCCCTGTGTGAGTTCCTGCCTTGGTTTCCCTCAGTGGACTGTGCTTCAGGAACTGTAAGCTAAATAAACCCTTCCCACCAACATTGCTTTGGTCACGATGTTTCATCACAGCAATAGTAACCCTAAGACAGGGCTAATGGTGGCTTCTCAGGACAGAGACATGTATGCTTAAGTTTTTGAAAAGATGTTGAAGTTTTTTGACAATTGAAATCCAGGGCCTTGCTGGGTGGTGGTGGTGATGGCAGCACACGCTTTTAATCCCAGCAATCAGGAGGCAGAGGCAGGTGGATCTCTGAGTTCAAGGCCAACCTGGCCTATAGAGAGAGTTCTAGGCGGCCAAGGATACACAGAGAAACCCTGATAAATATCTGAAACAGTTGATAATTATCTGAGTTTCTGTGGATTTGATTCTATTTTTGTTTCTGGCCATAATTCTGGATATGGAAGTTCTTCAATGTGTCCTCTAACTTTAATGCTATATAAATAAGCCATGGGTATTTGAATATATATGTCATTGTAACTGTCAAACAAATAGCCAGTGAATATTGATTATTGTGGATTTGAAGAACGTTATAAATGCAAAGCAGGCAGATATTGTACCATTATCTTTCCTCTGATATGTCCAGACATCACTGTTTCTGTTAATTTCTTCTTCTTCTTCTTCTTCTTCTTCTTCTTCTTCTTCTTCTTCTCCTCCTCCTCCTCCTCCTCCTCCTTCTTCGGTATGAACTTGGGGTTTTATACATGCCAAGCAAGTGCTCTACTCCTGAGCTGTATCCCTAGGCCACTTTTTACATTTCATTTTGAGGCAGGGTCTCGTTGTGTAGTCTAGGCTTACCTTGAACTGACTGCATAGCCCAGGCTGGCCTGATTTTTTGACTTAGCCTCCCGCGTAGCTGGGATCACAAACCTGCACCAATGATCCCGCTGATCCTGATAGTTTCTTCCGCTTTGGACAACAGACAGAGTTGCATCATATCATTTTTGGAGTATGACACACTCTCATCATTGGCCCGTGTTTTATTACAATGTATTTAATAAGCATTTATGGAAACCCTCTTCCAAAGAAAAACTGGAATTTTGACAGCAGCGCATCCATTTTGTCTCATGTCATCTGGGGTAAGCACCCGAATCTATGCTATCATTTTGTCTTTTCTTTGAAAACAGTTTTATTTTATCTATAGTATTTTTTTTTTCAAATAGCCCACCTAGGCTGACCTTGAACTTGCTACATAGTTAAGGATGTTAAGAATGATCTTAAACTCCTGATTCTCTTGTCTCTATCTCTTAACTCCTGCAATTATGCCCTGGTGTCTATAGTGTTTTGTTTTTTAACTAACAAATATTGTATGTGTTCTTTTTGGGGTTTAATCTTTTCACTTCTTGCTGCAATTTTGGTAGAATTCTTTCAAAGGTCTTAATGCCTTTCTATTTTTACTGTTTTTTTTTTCTTTTTTGGTGGTTGGTAATGGTTTCACTCTGTAGCCCAGGTTGGCTCTGGCCTCTTGGTAGTCCTTTCTTACTCTCCAGAGTATTGGGGTTACAGGTGTGAGCCCCTGTACCCTGCTCATCCAGATAGAGATGGATGCTTGCCCAACGTTAACTTACCAGTCAAATGATTGCCCTGGGAGCCATCTGGAATTCAAGAGCAATTCCTGGCCAGGGTGGAGGGGAGGACAGACAGCTGACCGCACACAGTTCTGACCCAGGAGGCTGTGTGGAGTGGGCGAGCTGCCGTTGCTGTTCTCCTAACTGGACCTTCATTTCGTGGGTGGATGCCACACCCAACACTGATCACTGGGTATGGCAGCTCCCAGGAGCGGGTGTCACTGTGGTGACACCCGGTGGAGGGGGGGCAGAGGCAATGAGAGTTCCTCCTTAGCTAGTTCACCCTTTCCCTGGTCAGCACACTCTTCAAGGGCTTAGGAATACTCTACACAGATGGACTAATAAGGCTGTCGCACGAGCTGGAACACTCTCACCTAGATAACACAAATCCAAAGCAATTCTACTGTTTTGTTTTTCGTATAGCCCAGGCTCACTCTAAATTCTCTGGACAGTTCAGGATGACTTTGGCAGCCCATGCTCTTGCTTCCGTCTCCCGAGTGCTGTGACTACGGTGGGCGTGGCACCACATGTAGTTTATGTAACCGTGGGGACTAATTCAGGGCCTAAAGTGTATAGGCAGGCGCTCTACCAACTGAGCTACGTCCCTAGCCCCTAACCTGTTTCTTAATTTACGTGGTTTGTTCCTTCTTTCTAAAAAAATTGTAGTGCTAGGGTTCTGACCCAGGGCCTTGGGCATACTAGATAAGTGACCTGCCACTGAGCCACGTGGCTTAAGCGTGTGGTCTCACTTAACTCATGCCCTGATTCTAAGTGCTGCAGTCTCTACACAGAAAAATCATATCTCTAGGCAGGTTTGTGGCCAAGCCTATAACCAGCAGTTCAAGGTCATTCTCAGCTACATAGTGAGTTCTAGGTTAGCCTAGGCTACATGGGCCTGTCTTCAGTCTCCCCGCGCCCTGAGAAAATAACACCCTTGTTATAATCCTCAGCTTCAAATTCTAACCTTAGTTTCATACTTTCTCCTAAACCCTTACATCTGCGACTGTCCTTGACTCTTCTTGTCCCATCCTCTCAAGTATGATGGGTTGCTGTTTAGTTAGCAACTGAGCAGAAAACAGACAGCGTGCTCTGATGTATCATGCCATCCACTTGCTATCTATGGAGTAGTAACATCTGTATTCCTGTGTTAGCTGAGAAAACTGAGGCGCAATGAATGTGGCCAAGGTTCATATCCAGTGAAGTTGAAATCCGAGTCAGTTGTTTGTTTTGAGACAGGGTCTTGCTATGTATCCCAGGCAGGCAATCCTCCTTCCTCAGCTTCCCAAATGCTAGCGTTAGAGGAATGTGCCACCACAGTTAGCTTTGAGCCTGTTTATTGGTTTAAATATTAAGACCACTCCACGTAGTTAAAAGGGAGGTTTATTTTGTGGGGTAACTTACAAGTGAAGGGATAGGTTACAGGGTCTGGGAAAGGTGTAGCACAGTCCAGAGGTGTTCTCTGGAGAACTCTGCTCAGTCTACCTCCAGCGTCCAGGATCCAGGAACCAAGAGAGCCCATCCGGATCTCAGGTCTTCAGGGGTCCTCTCTCGGCTCCGCCTTGTAGGCGTGACAGTTACGGAAGCCTTAAAGGGGGTGGTATTTCCAGGTCAAAGCTGGACCAGCTACCCACTACACCTGTTTAGTTTTCAAAGTTTTTAGGTAATGATGCTTTGACTCTAGGTAAAAGAAAGTGTAATAATGGAATAGAAAGGCTGGTCAGTCAGTTCAGCTGCTCAGTGTTACTATCAAAGACTTGGCCTTTCTGCTCGGCTTCATCTGTTCCAGCCCCATGCACGGAGGCTTTGTCCGAGCAGCTTTCTCAAGGGTTCGAGAAGCCTGCTGAAGTGTTCCGGCATCACACCAAGGACCGTTTAGAGGCAGGAAGCCATTTCACTTCCTCCTGTGTGTCTCTTTCTGAGGAGCCAAGACTTTCCCCCAGGACCCTTCCTGGCTGCCATAGCTCCTCTCCATCTTGTCCAGAGGGCCAGATGGAGAGGAGCTATCTTTTTTTTTTTTAAAGCAAAGTTGACTTGTCTGCTGGTCTTACCTTTTATCCTCACATGCTTCTCCTTCTTCCCTGGACCCCTTGAGTGAGAGCACCCCTCCCCGACATCCACTGGGTTACCATTCACTGACCTTCTTGTGCTGGAAGCTGAGGCATCGGGAGCCAATGAGAGGAAAGTCAGTCTTTTTTCTTTCCTTTTCTTGTGTGTGTGTGTGTGTGTGTGTGTGTGTGTGTGTGTGTGTGTATGTGTGTGTGTTTTCCCCGAGACAGGGTTTCTTTATATAACAGCTCTAGCTTTCCTGGAACTTTCCTGGACCAGGTTGGCCTCAAACTCGCAGAGATCCACCTGAGTGCTGGGATTAAAGATGTGCGCCACCACCATAAAGTCGGTCATTGAGGTCACAGACCCTCAGAGCCTCAGTAAGCTCAGGGATTTTAACCTTCACACTGTAATGTGGAGAATTTGGGACCAAAGGAAGTTGAGGTACCTGCTCCAAGAGGTTGAGGCCCTCAGGACAGGAGTCAAAGCTTGCCAGGCCTCATGTCCCAGTCCTTGTCCATATGCCACAATTCTGGCTTCACACTCTTCTGAATTAAAAGATACCTGTGCCCTGGGGCATCCACGTGAGCAGTAGAGGGCTTTCCTGGCAGGGCATGGATGTCTAGCCCAGCCCTGGAAAAATAAACATCTGTACACTCGTGGGCTTCAGAGCGGACAGGGAAACAGTGCCACGGCGTTGTACATACAGTGGCTCGGGCCTGCCCCAAGGCCTGTGACTCCCACTGTGCGCTCTGCCGTCCGCAGGGTGCTGAGCCGAGCAGAGCACATTGATGGAGTGGATGATTCACGTTACAGCAGTGTCCAGGAAATAATCCTTTATTAATGCAAATCATTTTAATGATACTGCTAGAAGCTCTAGGATCCCCCATGGCCACCCCGCCCCCCAGTCCCTCCCACCCTCACGCTCTCCCCTTTGGATGACTCAAGTTCTCCTTGAAGCCTTTTTCTACAGAAACCCCAGCTCTTTCCACAAGCCTCACAGGGCGCCACAGCCACCTCCCTTCAGCCAGGAAGGGCCTTAAGCAGGAAGTCTTCTGACACAGAGCCAGATGGCCCTATGGGTCTCCTGGTCCCCTCACCTCCGCCTAGAGGCTTCCTTGGGATGGAGTGAGGCGGCATTCGCCTCGGCCTTGCCCCACGTGACAGGTTAGCATTGGTCTGCTCCTCTCCAGCTCTGCTGGCTTTGCCCTGGCAATCTCCACTCCAGCGCCTGCCTTCCTTCCCCACCCTCGGCCCCGCCCCTTCCTCCGGCCCCAGAGCCCTGGACACAGTACACACAGCCCAGAGCTCCCACTGGAAGGAAACAGAAGGAACTGTTTGGGTTCCCATGGCTGTGGTCAACACCTTCATCCCATGGCTCAACCCTCAGAACCCTCACTATATCCCAGGGTAAGACTTCTTCCCACAACGCTCTCCTGCTTGCTTTGGGGAACGGGTCTGGGGACACAGGAGTTGGTTCACTTAGACACTGGGTCAGACTGACATCTTGGTTTGGGAATGGGGTACCTGTGGCGTTGTATGAAAGGGGGAGACGAGAGGCTAGAATAGCTGGGTCTAACAAAGCTTTGTGTTGTCTTCTCTATGGAAACGGGGTGAAAGCCGTGCAGAAGGATCAGAAACGCAGGCCGAGGGCTCCGACATGCTTGCTCCGGGCCGGGGAAGTAGCAGTTTCAGTGGTTTAATGCTTCCCTGGCATGCACAAGGCTCTAGGTTCAGTCTCTTAACAGGAGGTAGAGGTAAAACAAAGGAACAAAAATGACCCACAGACCAAAACTGGGGGTGATGGGGGATCGGTACTAACCTGCCTGATCCCAGCCTGGGGTGGGCGTACAAAGGTCAAAAGGAGTTTGGTCTAAAGAGAAACACGCACAGAGGGAAATACACAATTGCTCCATGTATACACCAAGAGCACGGTCTGGCTGCCTGTGTCAGGACGGTGGTGGTGTGTGGGTCAGTCTTGGAGCTAAGGCCGAGTCCTGTGCTTCAGGTACACTGGACACTGCCCACTACTTCGGTTCAGCATGGGCCAGACCTATGGGCAGGTGACCGGTCAGCTACTTCGAGGCTCTCCTGGTCTAGCCTGGCCTCCTGCCCACCGTACACTTCTGCCTCCCATCCAGTCTCCACGCTCCCCTGTAATTTCCAGGGGGAGGCTACCTCCCAGGCGTGGGCATGAAAGGCTCAGCTCCGGCATAATCCCTGGGTATACAGGTCTGTATGGAGTCCTGAACGGGTGTCCCCTTCCCAGAGAATGTGTCCCGGATACTAATACAACTTCCTCTCTGCTAGGTTTTATACCACAGGCACAGTTCATTTTTGCCAAGAATTGCAACCAGGTTTGGGCTGAAGCTATGGATGATTTTACGCAAAGGCATGGGCCGCAGGAGAGTCATGAATTGTCAGAGGAGGCTGAGGGAAGACAAGAGGAGGAAGAAGGCCAAGGGCCAGAGGCAGAGGAGCCAGAGCTGAAGCAGGAGGTGGCCCAAGTGAGATGGGGAAGGCTAGTGGTGGGGTGGGAGTTTGTACGGCCTGGGGTCACCATGGGGAATGTGGCTGTGCATACAGGACGTGGGACTTGGCTGCCACCTCTGTCTCCTGGGAGCCTGAACTTACAGTCCTATTTTTCTTTCATTAACATGTCTCACAAGGCTTCCCCCTACTCCATGGATGACACAGATCCCCAGAAGTTCTTCATGTCAGGTGAGAGGACGTGGGTAACGACCGAAGGCCTGGCGGGGAGCTCCAGGATGTCTTGTCTCAGCATCTCCCCCACCCCCAGGCTTCACTGGCTACGTGCCCCGCGCCCGCTTCCTCTTTGGCTCCAGCTTCCCGGTGCTTACCAACCAGGCCCTGCAGGAATTTGGGCAGACATGCTCACGGGGCAGGGTGCAGAAGGATCCCAAAGCTGCCTCCCCACCCCCCAGGTCCAACTTCCAGAACCTGGGTCTCCTCCCTCACTATGGAGGCTACGTGCCAGGTGAGAAGTGTCTGGGAGGCTCTGGGAACTGGGAGGTACGTGCAGGTGGGGTGGTTTGGGGAATTGGAAAAAACAGATAAGGACGATGTCAGATTCTGTGATTTAGCTTTAGAGAGGAAACCGAGGCAGCTCAGAGGGAGTTGGGAGCAGATTTCAGAGGGCAGTTTGGAGAGTCTATGCAAGTGGCTGGGAATTAAGTGGATTTTTCCTGCCTCTGGCCACACATGACAGGACTCTCTTCGCCACACAGGGTATAAGTTCCAGTTTGGCGGGACATTTGGGCATCTCACCCATGATGCTCTGGGTCTCGGCACCACTCAGAAACAGCTCTTGGCTTAAGTACCTGGACCCCAAGTTCTCCCTTTTCATCCTACCCCAGTCATCTTTTGGGGAGGAAGGGAGGTGGGGAGGGGGAGGGCACAAAGAAAAGGGTCTGGAGGCTGAGCACCTTTTTATTAATAGGTGTAATAAATAAATAAATAAATAAATACATAAACAGAAGCCTGGGCTCCTCCTCCCATTCTGACCAGGAACTGGTCACTGCCTATTTACAGCCAGAGGGGCTTCGGACTCTGGCCCCAATACTGTCATCCATCCTCATTGTCACTCAGCCTAGTGAACCCACAAATGACCTCTGGGCCACCTCCCTCCAGAGACTGGTCTACACCCATGGAAGTATTGGCCCAGATGGGCCAGGAAACGTCTTGGCAGCCCAGCACTGCGTCCTCCCGTCCTCTCCCGGGTGGCGGTCTGGACGGAGTCGCTGGGACAGTTGAGGAGGAGTAATTAATACTGAGCACGGGGAGCAGGTGCCAGCACTGGGACACGTGGCCCCCAGCTCTCAGTCTACGTTTTGTGGCCAAGCCTAAGGGCTTGGGAAGGACTCTCAGGCTCTGAGTCTCGGGGAATATGAGGGTCCCTGAGGCCACCAGCATGCACTAGGCCTCAGTTTTGGCTGCTTCCAGGTGGTGAACTTGGAGTCGGGGTCAGTGTCACATAGGCCAGCGGTACCAAGCCAGAGTCGGGGCCTCGGCTACAGCGCAGCCAGTCTCCTCCGGCTGCTCCCAGTACGCGCAGGATGTCTCCTTTGTGGAAGCTCAGTTGTCCAGGGCCTGTAGCCAGATGGTGGCACAGCGCCTGCACCTCGCTGGAGGGACAACAGATGGAGGTCAGGGAAGCCTCCAGAACGCCGGGCCAGCTCCCCAGTACGTCACCCCCCTGGGCGTACCACGGAGGTTTGGCGGGCAGGGCTGCCGAGTGTGACTCCTGCAGGTTCTCCCTGGGCTCTGGCTCCCGACGGGCCCCCATCGTCTGCGCTACGAGCTGGAACACAGACCTGTCCAGGCTCAGCCAGTCCGACGGCAGCCTAGGGGGAGGAGAGGGAGTCTGCTCTGCCCGCGTCCACACTTAGTCCAGCGTTGCCACCCCACCGTCTAGGCCAGCAGTGGCCCTCACCTGTTTGTGGGCCGAGCTTCCCGGGGAGCTTTCCGAGAACCGAAGAGGTGTCCCCACTTGATGCCCGCGGGCGAAGGCTCCGCGGTCCCTTCTTCATTTTCCGTGGGTGGGGCCACAGGCCCTTCCCTCTCTCGACTGCGCCTCAGCTCAGCTAGCACAGAGTCAGGGGGGCTCCCCATCCAGAAAGGCCAGCCCCTTTCTTGGCCAAGGGCCTCCTCGGGGGCAGGGCAGGCCTCGGCCCCCTCCACCACGCCTTCCCGGGGCGGTGGGGCCTGGGAAGGCCCCGCGCCGCCGCGGCCTCCACCTTTCTTTTTCTCACTCCCGCCGCTGCTACTGCGAGGGAACCTGGAGCCCTCGGGAGCTCCGTCGATGTAGACCTGGGAGCTCTGCATGAGCTGGTACCACCAGCCCGCCTGACCCCCTCGGGTCCACCTGCCGTGCTCTGAGCTGCCCCCAACCACAGCCACCTCGGCCGCGGCGTCCTCCTCGTCCTCTTCCCCACCTTCGGAGGCACCCACGCCCTTCACGCGCTCCCCAGGGGCCGCCCGGTCCATGTCTCTGGCGCCCTCCTGGCCTCGGGCCCTGGCCAGCTGCCACGTAGAGTGCGCGGACAGCAGCAGGTCCTGGGACACGCGCAGCAGCTCCTTGTGCTGCTGCTGCCGCTGCCCGCTCTGCAGCAGCCGGTGCTGGAAGAGCGGGTCAAGGCTGAAGGGCAGCAGAGCTAAGGGCTGAAGCAGCAGCAGCAGCTCCTCGAAGAGGCTGGGGCACACGGTGTGGGCGGCGCGCAGGAAGCCCCAGGGCTGGTAGTGGGTCTGGATGATATCTGGAGAGAGAGGGGCAGATTCACGCACACAAGTGGAATCTGGCCTGCGAAGGACACGGAGAAGCAACCCGTGCCAGCATGCATGCCCCTGCCAGGCTGCATGCCCCTGCCAGGCTGCATGCCCCTGCCAGGCTGCATGCCCCTGCCAGGCTGCGCTCTGCTTCAGCTCACACGGAGCCTGCTGCAGTGGCCAGTGCACGCATCCTGTCACCTGATGTGGCAGCGCTCAAGTCAGAGAGACTTGTTGGGGCTCATGGCCACCCTGACTCCGAGACTGCCTAAGTCTGCTGCTGCCCCAGGGTTCTAAGTCAAGTAGGAGCCCCAAACTCCGAGAATGAAAGTCCGGGTGGGCCCCCTCCCGGTCTCCCTCCTCCCCATCTCCCGTTCGGAGCTGGTGAGCCAGCGCAGGCTGTGGGCATTACCTTCATGGTTATACAGGTGATTAAACCAGAACTCCAGGGACCGGATGCTGTAGAAAGAGAGGTGAAAGGGTTAAGTCTCGCGTGGACACAGCCAGCCGACGAGGTACGAAGGACATGGACGCAGAAGGCCAGGTAGAGGGAAGAAATCCGATGGACACCTATGGCTGGGTGCTGCCTGGTTTACCCTGGAATGTAATTCTGTAAAGTCAATGGGATGTGGGGAGTGGGGTGACCATGGAATCCACAAGTCAGTCATTTCTTCTTGGAATGGCGGCAGCATACGTTCACCAGGGTGACGACTGCTCTCGGCCTGGGAAATATCACTACTATGGCACGCGCTCTGAGGTGAGTTTAGGTCGGAGGCAGAATTTAGAAGTGGAGCTGGAGTTGAGAGGATCACAGTTTGCCAGACCCTGAACCCCTGAGACACCTAACTTGTCTCTAACTGCTGTTAAGAGGGCCAGGCCAAGGGTCTGCAGGTGGACGAGATGGTTGGTGGGCAGTGTCCGGAGGGCGGGGTGCAGAGCGAGAAGCCAGTGCCCTCTGAGAGGCTGCAGCTGGGTGGACTACGGGGACCCCAAGGCCTTGCATGAACACTGCAGCCGCCCCCCCCCCCCTCAGTCCAGGCAGTCAGCCCTTGGAGGGCTCGGAGCTCTGGCGCTGCTGTCTGCTTAGATCCCGCCTTCTACACACTTACTTGAGCAGGCCGAGGATGAAGGCGTTGAAGCGCATAGTGTGACTGGTGAGTTCTGGGAACTGGCTGACTTTGTTGTAGAGACCATGCAAGACCTTGGTGGACGGGCCTGGAAGCAGACAGGGATGGAGATCACATCTCTGGAACCCTGAGCTCTGTCTGGAGCCAGTGTGGAAATCCAGCACCTACCCAGCTGTGTGGAAGCCTCAACCACACTCCAAGGCATGTTTTTCCGTTGTCCGATGATCACGTCCAGCACGAAGGCCTTGAGCCCATCCTCCAGTACAGCTTGGACTGCCGGGCACAGGTACTTCAGGACCAGGTGGCCGACGTTGGGGCTCACAGAACTGTTCCCCAGCTTCGCCTGCGGATGCACAGGGCGACATGAGAAGCCTGACCTTGTCCTCACTTAGCCAGCCCACCGGCTTCCCTCTGGCCATTTCCACCCCTGGGTTCCAGCTCTGGATTCGAGAGAGCAAGGAAGGGCGACAGCACAGAGCTGAGTCAAGCGCAGCTCCTCACGGTGCAGCCTACCTTGACACCAGGGTCCCGGCTGGTGCCGAAATGGGCCACGATGAGGTCCACAGCGGTGTTGACAGCTTTCACCAGCCCTGGGAGGAAGAAGTCGACGTGATAGGTCCCTTTTCGAGACTCCAGCCCACCCAGTGGAGGCGTTCCCCTTGGTGGGGAAGAGGAAGCTGTCCCACGCTCACCCCTGTCCCCCCCATCGTATCTCCTTGTCCTAGCACTCATGGGGACTGCTCTCTCCAGAGGGCTCTCCCCTCTGACCTTTACATCTCACTTGCTACACGGTACTCTAGCTTCTCCTTTGCCAAGCTCCTGCCCTTTGCCCACACTTATGCTTGGTTATTTTACCAACATCTCCCTAAAATTACGCATAGGTCACTCACTGGTCACTAATCTGCTAAACAGCACGTTCCTGTCAGTCTTCTCAAATGTCACCAACATACACACTCAAGGGGCTAGACCTTCAGCACTTGGGGACTTTCTGTTTGTTTGGATAACATGGTCTCACTATGCTACCCTGTCTGGCCTGGAATTCAGAGATCCACCTGCCACTGCCTCCCAAGTGCTAGGATTAAAGTTGTTTGCTACCAGCCGGGGCGGTGGTGGCGGCGCACGCCTTTAATCCCAGCACTGGGAGACAGAGGCAGGCGGATCTCTGTGAGTTCGAGGCCAGCTTGGGCTACCAAGTGAGTTCCTGGAAAGGCGCAAAGCTACACAGAGAAACCCTGTCTCGAAAAACCAAAAAAAGAAAAAAAAAAAAAAGTTGTTTGCTACCATGCCAAGCCAAGTTTTTTTGTTTTTTTTGTTTTTTTGTTTTTTTTGTTTTTTTGAACCCAGGGCCTACTGAGCTAAATCCCCAACCCCCCATGCCAAGTTTCTTGTATGTATGTATGTATGTATGTATGTATGTATGTATGTATGTATCCATCCATCCATCCATCCATCCATCCATCCATCCATCCATCCATCCATCTTGTGAGACAGATGTAGCCCTGGGTGTCCTGGAACTCACTCTGTAGACCAGGCTGGCCTGGAACTCAGCAGTCCACCTGCCTCTGCCTCCTGTCACACCAGGCTTCTGTAAATTTTTTTTATTTCTGTAACAGTCTCTCTCATACTTAGTTGCGAAGGAGGGGTGGAAGCCCGATTCTTAAGTTCCCGATACATGACTTTCACTACACTACACAAGCTTCCACCTCTTGCCCTAATTCTCATGGACTTCTCATTGGTATTGGGGTTTCAAGACAGACGTTCTGGAGGGTTAGCTAAGGCATCAGGTACAGTAGGTAGTGAGGGCGGGGGCCCTGGACCAGGCTGGGTGTGGATACGCACCTTTTTTCTGAAGTACATCAATGGAAATGGCCTCTGAGTTGCCATCTGGAGACAGACAAAACTCAGCTGGAGGCTTCTCAGTTAAGGAGAAGGGGTCCTGGAGGTCAGGGCAGGTCAATGGTAATGGTTTTGCAACCTGACCTGGAAAGAACAGAAAAAAACTTATCCTGAAGCTCTTCCCAAGAGTTCTTGGCTCAGCTGAGTGCCCTCCACCCTCTCAGCCCTCTGACCCCTGCCCGGCCCTCCT